ATACAGTGCCTTGCAAAGTATTCACCCCTTGGTGTTTTGCTTGAATTATTGCATTACAAACTGGAAATAAAATTGATTCATTTGGAGTTTGCACTGTGTGATGTACACAACACACCTCCCACTTTGTAGGCGCAAAATAATTTTTATTGTGACACAAACAATAATTAAGACAAAACAAACCCTGAAATCTTGAGTGTGAATAAGGGCCAGTTCACACCAGTTGCGGTGCGTTCCAGAGCGGTAGCTGCTGGAACGCACAGCAATCACACACTAAACTTCACCTTTCATTCTGGGGCGGGAAGGCGTGTGGATGCGCATTGAAGTAAATGGCAAGTCATAGAGCATGCAGGATTTTTATGCGTTCGCAGTGGACCGGAACGCAGTCAATGTTTTGCCATACGTCCGATTGCACTGCGGGAGGGGGCATGGCTGCAGTGCCCCAGAATGAAGGGGGAAGTATAGTGTATGATTGCTGTGTGTTCCAGCAGCTACCGCTCTGGAACGCACCTCAATTAGTGTGAATTGGCCGCAAAAGTCAATACTTTGTAGAGCCATCATTTGCTGAAATTACAGAGCAAGTCTTTTTGCACCTACAAAGCGGTAGGCAGGTTGTGTACATCACAAAAAAACGATTTTAATTCCAGATTGTAATTTAAGAAAACAGGAAAAACACCAAGGGGGCGAATACTTTTGCAAGGCACTGTATGCTAATGCATGGTATTGTTGGCTATTACTCAGACCAGGTAGCCTCTAGCAGAACAGTCCAGTGAAGGTAGGACAGCTGTATCGCCTAAAGTTCTAAGACATTGATAGAAATCCTGCTAAGACCAAATAGCCTACACTGACAGTGACATCCATTAAAGCGTTTATCTCTTGTGACTATCTTCCACCACAGAGAGACAAATCACTACATCAGGGATTCCTGGGTTTATGAACTCAGACAAATGACCCTGTTCAGGTAAGAGGTCAACTTTTCCTATTTGCAAAGGATCTCCCTCAGTAAGGTCCTGGCATGATGATTAGCAAGTAAGATTGCATCAAAGGAGGCCACCATTAGGGACCTCATACAACAGCAAAGAGATAACTAATGCACAGTCCACAATTGGCTGACATAGTCTTGCAGGTTAAAATGTTTTCCCTGTGGAAGGAATCAGCCCCACATACTCTAGCTCAGTGGCGGAACTACCACCATAGCGACCGATGCGGTCGCTATGTGATGACAGCGGCTGTGTACGTGGCCGAGCGGAGGATCGGTAAGTATCATTGATATATACCGATCCTCTGTGTGCAGCACAAATACTGGAGTGATCGTCTGATCACTCCAGTGTTTGTAAATAACTGGGGACACATAGTACTATGTGTCCCCAGTTATGAATGAACAGGAGGTGATTTACATCACCTCCTGTTCATTTATGAATTTCTCAATGGGGAGAAGCACTCTGTACAGAGGCTCCTCCCCATTGATAATCTGCTTGATAGTAAATACTAGTAATTACTATCAGCAGTTTGTGAATGAATGGGAAGCCTCTGTACTAAGTGCTTCCCATTAACTGAGTGCTGAGGCTGCTGAAAAAGACATTGAGGACTTTGTGTTTTAATTTAACTGTGGCAGCGCATGGCAAAGCTTTGTGACGCACTGACGTGCGTTGTGATACCTTGTGTTGTAATTAAATATACGCCTGTATCATGTTATCACAACACAAACACCAGCACAGCGCAAAAAACATTTCTAACATAAATCGCTTATTTACAGTTTAGCGTTCCTTCATTTTTTTAATAATCCCCCTTTCCTCAGCCTCTCATTGGTGTGGCAGTATTAAAGTAAAGTGTTAGGCCTCATTCAGGTGCCATTCACACCAGGGCGGAAGCGTTTCACCGTAGTTTCCGCACGATTTTTGAAAGAACATTTTTGGCTGTTTTTAGTCGCGTTTCCATTCCTCCTGCGTGTGGTAGTATACTCACAGGTCTATAGATTCCTGTGTCTCTTAATTAACGATAGACAATACTGTATATTTTTTCAAAAGGCTCTGCCTTTTATCATTCTAAGGGAAGCCCTTAAACTCCAGTCAAGTGACTTTGCCTAGACCAGGATGAAGTCATCAGTCTTCTGCAGGAAGCAGAATGTATTTCCTCAGTCTCCTATGTCCCCAGTGATCAGAATGTACATTGTCATTTTGTAGCATGTCATGTAGGTGAGCCAGTATTTAAAGCTGTACTTTAGATATACTTACACTGGTCCAGTTTTCCTCAATGTAAGTACAGTATATAAATGATCCCTGGCAGGGTTGTTGGGCTTATATAATACACTGTATTAGTTGCACTTACTACAGTGTATTAGAGCTTCTTCCGAGTATAGGAACACAATGGCCATTCAGAGGATGTCAGTATTTTGTTGAATGAATACTGCTCATTCTCTGATTGGGCAAGGGGTGGTGCTGAGAATACCTAGTATTCATTGAGAAAAATACTAGATGCCCTCTGAATGGCAGCTGTGCCAAGCGAGTGACCCTCTGTGTTTCAACAGCAGAAGGGGGGTCACTCAGCACAGAGGCTGTTACTGTAAGGGGAAGACACTGTAATAAAATGTAGCAGCAGTGGCTAATACAGTGTATTACACAATCTCCGTGGCCCTACCAGAGATCATTTATATATACTTACATTGTGCCAAGCTATATAGATTTTTACAGCTGGAGTTCAGCTTTAAGTCTAGGAAGTAAATGCTGACCCTAAACAAAGAAGATGCCAGCCATCTGGGGAGAAACAGAGATGAAGGATTTTAAGGTCCACTTATATTGCAGCCCCCCCCCCCCCCCCCAAAAAGAAATGCTTAGTGAAATCAATAAAAGAATAAAACATTTAAGAAGATTAAAAAAAAAATCTTACCTTATTCCGGTCATTTTCTATATGGGATGGTGATACCACTGGGCCTCACCACAGGATGCCGGAAAAGTTGAGAGTAGCAAATCACACAATACATTCCTGCACAGTGCAGATGCATCTTTTTGCAACATTTGAGAGCATCAATGTTCCCAGGATCCTGTAGTGTCATTTGGTGACAACACCATCCCCTAAAGAAAGTTGCAAGAAACTTGGTTTTAAAGTATTTGTTTTTCACAATTTCTCCTTATTTTTATTGTGTTTACTGATGCCTCATTCACACTAAGTGTTAATGCACTTGCAACACAATGTTTTTTAGTGTATTCATCTCATTGCTTTAACAGCCTATTGCTTTTGAATGGGCTAGCAGCACACCTTAATATGTCATAAAATGGACGCCAACCTTTTAAAAAAAAATAAATGCAGGCACCACAACACACTGTATGGTATATTGCAATGCAGCATTGCCCGCTACAGTAATACCCTGTTTCCCCGAAAATAAGACCTACCCTAGGGTTGCCACCTGTCCAGGATTCACCCGGACAGTTCGGGTTTTGAATGCTGTGTTCGGGTTTCATGGCAGCAGAAACCCGGACACAAGATGTCAGGCAGACAGGGGCCACCAAAATTAGGATAGGGGCTACTGGCCCCCCACTGAAAATAGTCTCCACTGTGATATTTACATATGAATGGGTGGCGCTATTTACATTTGAACAAGCCGCGACTCATTCTCCCACAAAAATGACCGTGCGTTGCTGGAGTGTTCGGGTTTCGCTTGAAGAAAAGGTGGCAACCCTAACCTACCCCGAAAATAAGACCTAGTACTACTTTTGGGAATTGCTAAAATATAAGACCTACCCCGAAAATAAGACCTAGTTGTGACCATTCCCAGGGCCGGTGGTGGCATAAGGGGGAACTTGAAGAGCCGCGGGAGAGAATCAGCTTGCCAACGAAGCCAGCGCTAGAGGAAGCGAGGGGGCACTGGAGGGAGCAGAGCGGCATAAGCCGATGCTTCCTCTATAGCGCCAGCTCCTGTCACAGGCGGAGTGATACCAAATGCTCTCCGCCTGTGAGGAATCGATAGTGAAAGTGCGCTTCGCTCATTCTGGCCAGCGATTGCTTAGCAAATTGCTCTTGGAAAGGTACGGCACCCCTGATTGCCCTGATCACCATATTTTTGTATTTGAATACATGTAGACTTTTCTACATTAATAAGTGTGGATTGTTGTACATTTAAAAAAATGAAAATAAGACCTCCCCCGAAAATAAGACCTAGTGTGTTTTTTTGCAGCCCCAAAAGATATAAGACAGTGCCTTATTTTTGGGGAAACACGGGTAGTATGTTGGGATTTGAAATGAGTGGCACCACAGTGCAGCTCGCGGTTAGTGTTTTGTGGAAACGCGTGGTTATAAGAACCTATGGATTAATCAGTCCTGAGTGTTTTTCATTCAGGTTGTGGTGATGTTGGGATGGGAGGGTTGCAACAGAAATGGACCTAGGGTTGCCACCTGTCCAGGATTCACCCGGACAGTCCAGGTTTTGAATGCTGTGTCCGGGTTTCATGGCAGCTGAAACCCGGACACAAGATGTCAGGCAGACAGGGGCAACCAAAATCAAGATAGGGGATGCTGGCCCGCCACTGAAAATAGTCTCGACTGCGATATTTACATATGAATGGGTGGCGCTATCTACCTATGAATAAGCCACGACCCCCCAGAAATTTCCAATGCGTCGCTAGAGGGTGGCAACCCTAAATGGACCTTGCATTCTCATTATTTATGATACTCTCTTTAATTCTTCACTCTATAGTCCTAAATCATGCCAAAGTAGATCTCTGCAATGTAAGTCACATACTTCACATTCACACTTCACTATACGCAGTGCAAGCAAAATATCTTGGCAAGCCCGCAGCTTCTGTTATGAATATTTCACATTGATTCATGATCACTGCCTAAGGGGCAATGACAAGCCATGCACAGAGACGCAGCAGAATGTAAACAACGATGACGTTCCTCGCTCCGCCCATCTCTCAAAAGGCGGAAGTGTGCAGGAAGTGCACAGAAGTCACATGAGCGGAAGAGTTCCGGGTCTGATTCGTGTCACATGACAGCTGGAGCGCATCTTCTTCCAGCAGCTGCCCAGCGCTTTGATGTGAATCTTTGAGAGCTGGTATCCCTAGTCATGGATTTCTGTACTGCTAACTGGTACCCTCTGGGGGACGTCTATTACCGGTCAGTATATGGCAGCTTTTAAATGCAGCTCATTAAAGCCCAATTCAACCTTCGCTATCTATTTCTGTAATGCAGTATTAGAATACGAGATGCTTTTACTTTTTGTTTACACTGCTAGGTGCTGCAACAAGGGTTAAAATACCCTGTGCTACCAGAGTCTATTGCAGTTCTCCATGGTCGGTGCAAAGATTTTTGCCTACACAGGTTAGGTTGCAGACGCTTGCTGCAGCCCTTAGCAGTGTAAAAAAATAAATAATCCCCATATTTATTACTGTATACAGAAACTGAAGCCGAACTCTGGGGAAAATGATTATTCATGTTTGTAGTGAGGCTACTCCCGCACTGCAAGTGTTAAAAGTGCTTGTTTTGCTCTAGGAAGGAAAGTAACACTTATATTCACCCGATCCTCAGATGTGGCCAGCTGTTACAGCAATCCCTTCAGCCTCTCTCCTCCTATGCTGCAGCAATGGAATGTCCTTCGGCGTCCTCACGTTCCATAGATTCTATAGAATGTGCTGATTTATTGGGTCTTAAACTGCTGCAGCCGAGGGGGAGAGAGGTTACTGGAAGAAGTCTAGGAGCAAGCGGGATATAACCTCCCCAGACCAAAACAAGCTCTTAAAGGAGAACTATGAGGTGAGTGCTTTTCACTCACCTCATAGTTCTAGCCGACCTGTGACAATGAGACTGTCACAGGTCAGCTCAGTAGATCGGGAGGTGAGCGAACACATACCGAACACATGTCACGGCTCTCTGTCAGGGCTGGATTCCCCCCACTCCGATCCGCCAGTCAGCGCTGGACGTCAACGGACGGGGGAGGGGGCGGGTACAGCTGGCTCTGCCTCTAGATAGTCAAAGCCAGCTGTCACTCACGCACCTGGGCCGATCCAGACATAATTGTCGGGATCCGCTTCAGCTGCGGCGTCTCAGTATACCGCAAGCTACAGCTCGCGGTATACAGAGCCTAGGGTGACGGGAGGATGCTAGTTTGTGTCCTCCCGTTACCCTAAGGAGAACTATGGGGAAAAGCCCTAACCCCATAGTTCTCCTTTAACACTTGCGGTGTGGGTTAATAATTCTGGTGACAACAACCATAACATTTTAGATCTCTCAAAGCTTTTTGTCCTGTTCAGAATGATCAAAAGGGCCAATTGAAAGGGTGGAGCTGAGAATCTTCTCTCAATAAATTGAGTGAGGATTCATTTTAATTCTACATTGATGCAAAAGAGAAAACCAAGTTACCCTGCACGATTGGGTAGTTATTTGAAGTGACCTTATTGGGTGAAGATTCTCAACTCCTTTAGTACATCATCCTCAGTGTATCTCTTGGGTGCGCTGACGGACGTTTTTACCCTTTTCCAGTCTATCCCAAACACGAAAGTTTGGCTTTTGGAGTGCGTCAAAGCAGTAGACTTTATGGGAGAGTGATTCCAGTCACAAGGCCCAGGATTTGAGAATCAATACAACACACAACTGTGAAACGGCTTTATAACTTTTAAAATGAAAGGTTGAAAATCGGAATTGTTCCGGATTATTAGCCATTGAAAAGTTTTTTTGTTTTTTGTCTGCAGGAAATTGAATTTATATGATATGGGATGGAATATCAGAGAAGAATTTAAAGATTGTCTTGTGGCAGTTGGTCCCTATGGAGGATCGATAGGTATTTATATTTATGTTTTCTTTTGAAAAATGTATTGCTACTAGTAGAGTAATGACTGGTTTACAAAGATTGTTTTAGCTTCTGCTACAAAGTGCAAGTTAGCTGTGCCTCTCATAAAGGGACAATTGGGGGAATTTATCAAAACTGGAGCAAACAGAGTCTGGAGAAGTTGCCCCTGGCAACCAATCAGCTTCTCTCTTCAGTTTGCCCAGGAAAGATTTGAAAATGAGACGGAGAAGCTGATTGGTTGCAGTGTAAATCTGCTCCGGGTTTTGTCTGCTTCAGGTTTGACAAATTCCCCCCAATGTCCCTTTCTCCTCTATTAGAAACACATGTGTCACATCATGTATAATATGTAACGCTGCTTGCCATATTACCATGTGTTGTGTAATTGCTGCCTAGTTACAAAATGAACCAGACATTATTGTCGCTTTCTAAATATCGTTGGATAAAATGATGTGTGTGTCTGTAGTTTCATTAGATTCAAATGAATGGTTTTTTTTTATGCCACAGTCTTACATAGAATGGAAACGGACTTTGATTTTTGCATTGCTTTAAAGGAGAACTATGGGGTCAGGGCTTTTCCTCAAAGTTCTCCTTAGGGTAACGGGAGGACACAAACTAACGTTCTCCCGTGACCCAAAGCTCAGTATACTGAGACACCGCAGCCTGGATGGATCCCGATAATACTGTCTGGATCCACCCAACTGCAGCTATCCAGAGGCAGAGCCAGCTGTGCCCTCCCCCGTCCGTTTCGCCAGTCAACGCTGGAGGATCGGACAGCGGAGGGGGGAATCTTCGCAGGGAGCCGTGAGCCACTGCTCTCAGCGGGGATAGATCGAGAAGTGAGCGAGCGATGGTATGTGTTCGCTCACTTCCCGATCTACTGAGCCGACCTGTGACAGTTTCATTGTCACACGTCAGCTCGAACTATGAGGTGAGTGAAAATCATTCGCCTCATAGTTCTCCTTTAAACATGGAGTATGGAGCCTTTCAAAAATGTTGTAATTGTGGCCCATCATGTATAGTTACATTCCTGTATGTGCGTATATTTTAAATACATACTTGTATATGTACAAGATTTAAATCTATATGTATACATAGACACAATACATAGACACAGCTCTAAACCCTCAAAACAGGTTTTGGCTGGTGCCGGGCATTAAAGTGTGCCTAAAGGGAGGAGCCGGATGGAGGAGAATGGCTTGCCTTTTCCTGCCTTTTTATGTGGAGACATAAGCACCTTGCTAGCACACACAAAGGTGGCTCCATAGGACCCTGCAAGGAAAAGGAGCCACCCTAAAACAAGATTTCGGGGCCACTGCTCAGGGGATCAGCTGATTCTACAGGAAGCTAAAACTTTAAAACATCTAGGAGCAGCATCCATTGTAAGTGATTTCATGAGCATTTAAAATAGCTTGGACACCTTTTGACTTTAAAGCAGAACTCCAGTAGTCTAAAAAGTTGAAGTGATATTAAAGCTTGATCTTTTTTGAATTTGTTTTTAAATATGTATAGGAGGCCCACACTTGTTAATATCTTCTGTTCTTTTTTTTAAATGTTACGTTCCTCGTTCTCCCTCCCGCCCCCTGCATGGGTGCTTCCATCAGCTAAGCTGCTGCTGTGGCGGCTCCCATGTGTGTGCGTTCCTGGCTGTCCCCACAACTAGATGTGTGCATCCATAGACACACACAGCCCTGCGGCAGGTCACGCCCCTCCTCTCCTCCCAACAGATTGATTGATGGCAGAAGGAGCCTATGGCTCCTCTGCCCTCAGTAGCCTCTTCCTAGTTCGAGGAACAGAGGATCGCTTCAGGGACCAGGGGCAGTGACAAAACTTCACAGGTAAGTAGAATGCATTAAGGTACAAAGCAACCAGCTTTTAATACTACTTTTCCCTTGCAGTCGGGCTACCCCTGCCCTGCATGGGTTAAGTGCTCAATTTGGTCTAGGGGCTCAAATAAATACTCGCCTTATCCTCTGTCCCACCTGGCTGCTAGACTGGTCCCCGCAGCCTCTTTTCCCCCATGTTCCGGCGGTCTAAGCACCGCAGACGTCATCATGTCTAACACAGGTCCATTAACCTGCATTAGACATGAGGACACTGAGGGACATACCACAGCTGGAGCGGAGGGGGAGAGAGGTGAGCTCTCATCACCACGGGACTGAGGACCAGGGGAGTATCTATTAAATGCCAGCCCCTGGACTAGAAACGAGCAGTTAACCTTTTGTAGTGCAGGGGTTGCCCCACGGCAAAGGTTAATTTTTATAATAACTGAAGTTCCTCTTTAACATCACTTTAAACTTATGTTTAGGTTTGGATAGAGTGGGGAAGGGTTGGCAATCCTGTCACATTTTTATTGCTGTCTGTGTGGCAGCTGGGGAAAGTCACCCTGTCCTAGTGATAATTATCAGGACAGAGTGAAAGAACAGCCAAAATGTTACGTTGGCCCTGAAATAGAAACAGAGGGCAGATCTTCAATTGAGGGCTCTTGTAAAATAATAACAGCTGTCTTAGATTTCCCTCACTTTGGAGAGATTTCCTCTGGCTTCTTCGTGTGTGTGTCAGAAAGTGATGGGCAACCTATCCAATAGAACAGATGCCACAAAAAGAGACCGGTCCTAACAGATTTAAAGGAGAACTATGGGGTTAGGGCTTTTCCCCATAGTTCGCCTTAGGGTAACGGGAGGACACAAACTAGCGTCCTCCCGTCACCCAAAGCTCAGTATATAAGGAGCTACAGCTCGCGGTATACTGAGACGCCGCAGCTGAAGCGGATCCCGACAATTATGTCTGGATCCACCCAGCTGCGTGAGTGACAGCTGGCTCTGCCTATCTAGAGGCAGAGCCAGCTGTACCCTCCTCCGTCCGTTCCGCCAGTCAGCGCTGGAGGATCGGAGCGAGGAGGGGGGAATCCAGCCCCTCCCCTGTCACGGCAGAGAGGCGAGCGAACGCCGGTATGTGTTCGCTCACCTCCCGATCTACTGAGCCGACCTGTGACAGTCTCATTGTCACAGGTCGGCTAGAACTATGAGGTGAGTGAAAAGCACTCATCTCATAGTTCTCCTTTTAAGATGGCTTTGCTGTAATTGTTGAACCATTCTCAATCCAGTCAACATTTTCTGTTTGTAATAAATGTCAGAAACGGACAAATGTCAGGAGTCAGGTAGCCCAAGGTTCTTGGAAATGACAGCTGGTGCCTAACTTATGAGGTTTTCTCCAGTTGTTGTCAGTGGAGCTGGCTCCTGGACTGGACAGACTGACCCCTAGTCCATATTATGTTGTCCACTCCTGATATATGGTATTCATTCATCAGATCTGTCAGGAAGTCTTCTGGTTGGATGAATTCTATCCATTTACTCTTCACAGAGACCAGTGGGAACTATTATCTGAAGTATTGGAAATGCTTATTTCTTGGTCACACCCGCCATGTTATCTCATCTGCTGTGAAAATTATATTAGTGCAACTCTTTATCAAACCCCAAAATTCAGTAAAAATGACACTTATGTTTATTTCAGTGCACAGAAACACAATATAATACACATTTTTTGTAAAATATAAAAGCTGAGGTTGTGTCAATTAAATAGATACCCAACATGCCAAGCTTAAAAATTGCATGCGCCCCTGAAATGGTATCAAAATACGGTACCTCAAATTGTCCATAGGCGACGCTTTAAAAGCCTACACAGGTCATCAGTTTAGCGTTAACTGTGAATATTGGCCCTAGAATGATTTCTCCGCTCTGGCACATGCGGTTATACAACACATGGGTAGTGCAATTGTCGTTTTTGTACGTAGGTGCACCCGACACGTGTGTACGTTAGCATGCGCACATTTGCAGGTTGGGGGATTTTTGTTTTTTTATTTTTAAATGTATTTTATTTAACTTTTTTTTTTTTTTTTTACCTCATTGCTATCACATGAAAGGGCAATCTGATAGCACTTTGCAGGTGACTTAAGGGTTCTTGTGTACAGAGAAATAATGTACGTGACTTTGCATCAGGGGCATTGAAGGCACCCACAGTAATTCTTAAGCAGCATTGGCTACCTGGGAGTTGTCCAGCCTTGCAGTAGATGTAGATGTGTAATACCGTATTTTATCATTCCTGCAAAGGCTGATTTACTTCTTATTGTTTTTTTTGTCTAACTCTTTTAAAGCCTTGATGAAAAACTATGTGACAAAAGATAAACCAAGCAGTTCACGTCCTGTCTTGGAAATCTACTCAGCGTCTGGTGTTCTTTTATCTACAATTGCGGTGAGTGATTAAAATGGTTTGCATTGTTTTATTGAACATATATATTTGTAGGTTTGCCATTAATCTGCAAATTATATAAAATTGCTTTTTCATTCTTTTTAGTGGAAGAGTGGACAGGTGGTGCACCTAGGATGGACAGTCTCGGAAGATCTAATCTGTATTCAGGAAGATGGAACTGTGTTAATATATGACATATTTTGTGTATTTCAACGTACTTTTACCATGGGAAGTGTAAGTATGTGATTTACAGTTTAATTACATGTCAGGCTGTGTTCTCCTCAGAAATGTACAGCAGCTCTGTGCATCTGATTTGAAAGCTTGTTAATGTTTTTAGGAAAAAAATTATGAATTTTTAAAAAAGAATGCAGAAAATGCAATCTGGTATGTACAGCCGCTTGTGGGATAAACTATGTATACATTTTACTAGGGAGGCACCGATACAGACACTAGTACACTTGTGACAAGAGAGCATGGAGCTGGCATTCCCGGCTAATGTGTAATGACTCCCTGCCCAACTTCCTGATTGTTCGGAAAGCTGGCCAATTAGGAAGCCGGGTGCCGTGTTATGATGTGACGCCCGGCTCTCTGATTGGCCGGGAAGCCGGGTTCATGCTTCCTAGTCACCTCATGACAAGGGAGCATGGAGCCGGCTTCCCGGCCAATCAGGAAGCTGGGCGCCACGTCATTACACGGTGCGCGGCTTCCTGATTTGCCTGAAAGCCGTCACCATGCTTTGTCGTGGCAAGTCTTTACACGCCACCCAGCTTCCCGGCTAATCAGGAAGCCAGGTGGCGAGTTATTACACACCGCCTGGCTTCCTCAATGAAACTTCCGGTATTGGTATTCGGTATCAGCGAGTACCGAAAAAAAAATATTGGTACTTGATACCGAAAAACCGGTATCAGTGCATCCCTAAATTTTACAGCTGATGGAGATAAATGTTTACAACAGAATAGGGAAACCGTGATGTCACAGGCAGGCCATAGATTTCAAAGAGGTGGTGGGTGATGTACAGGCATGATCCAACCACCCTTTTGGGGGGCGCATGCGTGCGACGGTTCAAGATGGCTGCTTCTTGATACCGCTCCGCACTTCTTGAGCCGTGAGACACCCGTTTTCTACCATAACCCTGCTTGCCGGGTCGGGTCCCCAGGTAGGTTGTGAACCTACTCACCTCGGGCGCCCAGATGAGATCCTCGCAGTCCAGATACAAGCGCGCGCAACCAGCCCTCCGAGACTCCTCGCACGCGCTGTGCTCTGGGCAAGATGGCGTCTGGCGGCCTGCATGACGACGCTGCTCCTCAAATGTCGGCTGACTCTGAGGATAGCCAAGACCTGTTTGCTGAGAAGGTGTCTGGTTCCCATGGATCGCAGGGGTCCGACCTCCTGGTGCGAATGCGGGACATGGTGCGGGAGGAACTCTCTAAAGCCTCCGCCGCTATCACCTCGGAGCTCCGACGTGAAATTAGTGAGATCGGACACTGCACTGCCTCCCTGGAATCCCGTATGGATGATGCCACCACCATACTAGAGGGCCACGAACAAGATCTGGAATCTGCCCAGTCGGCGCTATCCCTTCTCCGCGACCAACTGGAAGACCACGAGAACCGGGCTCGGCGCAGTAATAATACGCATCCGGGGCCTTCCCGAATCGATTGAGGACCTCGTGGGCTTGGCCACCGCACTGTTCCAGGAACTGGCCCCTGATCTTGCCGCAGACCGCCTAGAGATGGACCGTATCCATAGGGCGCTTGGACAGACCGGACGGACCGCCGCGGGATGTGGTGGTTAAGCTACATTATTTCCGCACGAAAGAACGACTCCTGCAGTCTGCGAGGCAGGCGCCAGCACTGTCTTTCCAGGGCCATCCTTACAGCCTCTATTCGGATCAGGCCCTATCGACCATTCTAAAGCGCAGAGCCCTTCGACCCTACCTGCAAGTTCTCCGGGATGCGGGAATCAACTACAGATGGGGCTTCCCCTTTCGCCTCCTTTTTACGTACCAAGGGTCGTTCCAGCCCCGCTCTCCCGAGGATCTGCGCTCCTGCCTACGTGAGATGGGCCTTCAGGTCCCGGTGGAGCTCGCCTCCGGGCTCGCAGCCCCTCCAGCGGAGAGCCCAGGCCTCTCAGCGGTCCCATTCTTCACAGGCCTCACGCGATCCTGGCCGGTCGCCTCGCAGATCTCAGGCCCTGCAGCGCTTGGGCTCCCAGGTATTTCGCTCTAAACCCAACGGCTGAACTACTACGCATTGAAGCTGGATTACACATCACGGCCTTGTACTAGGCTATTGTTAACTCGGGTACCTTTTTTCCTTTTTGTTGTGGCTCTCTGCCTCCTGGAAAGCTATCCGGCAACCCTGGACCCACTGATGTTCCTCATTATGCGGGTATTGTCCCGTCCTTTGTTGAGCCGGTGAAGCTGGCCTGTTTGGGTTATTCACGGGCTACAAGGCCTGGCTAGGCCGTTGCTACCCAAGGCGACCCCTCTTTTTGATTTTTGTGCTGAATGATTCCTCCAAGGGTTTTTTTTCTTTTCTTTCTTTTTACATTTTTAATTACGTTCAAGGCCTTCTGGAAAACTTATAATGTCTCTTGGATTTCCCTTCCCGAACGCAGAGGAGGCACTATGCGCCCATGTTCTGCACCGCTCTCCTTATGTTTATGTTGATTTTTTGTTCCTGTGTTTTCTTTTGATTAGTTTCACATGTATCAATCTGTTACTGTTATTTACAGAGCTGTTTTGTCAAATGGATTCCTCAGCGTTTTGTTTTATGATAGACTGAGATCATAATCTGATGGACCACGACCCCACAGTCCTGACCTGCTGCTCATTGCTCCCCAGGCCTTCCTCCTCCTCCTCCTTGTCCTTGAACGACTCCCTTCTCTCCCACCCAGATGTAGTGGACCGCCTGCCTTCCCTCTCGTCCGCCTACTTCCGGGAGAATGTGGGATCAGTGTCCTCTCCCACTGTATTGTGGGAAGCCTATAAAGCAGTGCTTCGCGGGCACATAATCCAACTGGCGGCCCAACGGCGGAGAGACCCATCTGACAACACAATTCAATTTCCTTAAGCAGGGCCACCCGCTCCCCTCTGAAGCCCTTAAAGCAAATATTGTTATGATTCCCAAACCTACTACTGATCCCCATTCTTGTTCTAACTTTAGGCCCATTTCATTACTCAACACCGATGTGAAACTCCTGGCTAAAGTGTTGGCCTCTAGGATTAACACCTTCTTAGGGTATCTTATTCATAAAGACCAGGTCGGTTTCGTACCCTGCAGGCAGGCGGGAGACAATATACGTCGGGTTCTTAAACTTATACACCTAGCTCGTTCCCGTTCCATAGAGATGATGTTACTCTCCATGGACGTACGCAAGGCGTTTGACAACTTATCTTGGCAGTACCTGTTTTTTGTCTTACGCAGATGGGGTTTTGGAGAAGATTTTCTTGCTTGAATATCTGCGTTATACTCCCAACCCACAGCCTCCATTCGCTATGCGGGGTTCAGCTCAGCGGGGCACTAGACAGGGGCCATACTGCGGGGCACTAGACAGGGCTGCCCTTTATCCCCCATCCTGTTTATATTGACACTAGAACCGCTGGCAGCTGCCATCCGGGGCAATGCTTCCATTCAGGGATTAGAGTTGGCGGGTATCCCTCACAAAATCTCGCTCTATGCTCTCGCTCCACCCATGTCTCTCTTCCCAATCTATTTCGCACGTTATCAGAGTTTGAAGCATTCTCCTGTTTGCAGGTTAACGAGACCAAATCAAAAGCCTTGAACATTTCCCTGAGTGCCGGTTGCCTGAGCTTGGCAAAATCTAACTTTAATTTTTCGTGGCCCCCTTCCCTGCCTTACTTCGGAATCAAAATCACTCCCTCGCTCGATTCGCTCTTCCATGTTAATTACCCCCCCGCTCTTCCGCGAGCTGTCGTCCCTCCTCACCTCCTGGCACAATATGCCCTTGTCCTGGTTAGGCAGGATTCATGCTATCAAAATGTCTTACCTCCCCAAGATTCTCTACCTCTTCAAAGTCCTTCCCGTTCATATCCCTAGCCATATCCTCCGTATAGAGCAGAGGAAGATCCTCCGTTTCATATGGCATTCCCGTAAGCCCCGCTTAGCTGCCAACGTCTTGTACCACCAACGGGGGCAGGGCGGCCTCGGCGCCCCCTATTTAGCTAAATATTACATAGCGGCCCAGATATCTCCGCTAACGCTCTTTCATTCCACCTCGGCGTTGCCCCAATGGGCCCTCATGGACATAGTGGAATGCGCCCCCCTCCCTATCCATAATCTACTATGGACCCCTCCCTCCTCACGCCCCCCCATTCAAGACCCTGTTTTGCGATTTAGTCTGAAACGGTGGGACTCGGTCAAATATACTGCTGGGCTTATATCACCCCATCTTCCCCTCTCCGGTATATTTGGAACTCCTTTATTCCTCCCGGCCTATGAGAATGCCCCAGCATTTTCGTGGTGGGCCTGGCGGAACTATATATATATATATTCCGGGACCTTCTATCTATAAGTGGTGTTAAATCCTTCCAAGACCTTCAAACTCGCTGGACAGCTCCCCTCACAGAGAACTTTCGATATCAGCAACTCAAGAGTTATATCACAACTCTTCTACGGCACTGCCCAGGTTCACCACACAATCTTACACCTTTCGAATCCCACTTTTGGTCTGACCCCCATTCGGCTGGCCTGATAACGCTCCTGTATGCCTCGCTGGTGCCGTCACTTGGGACAACGAAACTCTCCTATATGCTGGCCTGGGAAAGGGATCTGGGAGACTCATTAGACCTCCGCGCATGGTCTGAGATATGGATTGCTGTGACAAAGTGCTCTCTGAATGTCTTGTGCCAGGAAAACGCCCATAAAGTCATGTTCCGATGGTACATGACCCCGGACAGGATATCCAAATTTGCCCCCTCCATCTCGCCCCCGCTGTTTCCGGGGTTGCACGGACAGAGGCACCTTACTTCATATCTGGTGGGGGTGCCCAAAAGTGCAAAGGCTATGGATTAGAGTGTATAACTTACTGAGATCAGTTTTTGATACAGCCTTTATACGTAACCCTTGGGAGGCCCTCCTGGGCAAGCCAGTTACTCGCCTCTTCAGACGAGAAAGGAAATTAGCAAATTGTATATTCCTGGCGACTAGACAGACCATAGCCAGAGCATGGAAACAACCAACGTTGCCTTTCTCGGAAGTTAGACAAAGGGTCATGGGCATCATGGTACATGAGAACCTTACGGCTATCCTTCCAGAAGACGTGGTCACCCTGGCTGGAATATGTCTAGCCACTGGGTCTGGATCACGACCTCTTGGCAATCTGATGGCGACGTGCTTGGTCGGGGTGCTGGGGCCCCCCTCGACTCCCCTCACAGCCTCCTCTCTTCCTTGTTTGTCTTCTTCTCCTACCCTTTCCTCTTTTCTTCTTCTTCTCTTACCTCTAAGTTCTACAGATGTTTTTTGGAGACCTCAACACGCCATATAGAATGATTGCTTGGCATATAGCCGTTAGCCTTTGTTACCCCACTTGTGTGGCTCCGCTGGCGTCCTGCAGCAGCGGCAGGTAGTTGGCGTCCTCACTATGGTTTCCAGATGCTAGCCCACCCCCAGACTCAATACACAGACCGTTGTGGTGCCTTTGTCTTTACTATGGTTTCTGGAAGGGGGGCTTTTGTTTTCGTCATATCCTTTACTCAATGTAACTTTGCTATCCTTCATTGGCTCTTCACTGGATGACTTAACAATGCACACCAATATGCCGTTGTAATATTATAAGGTCATTTTCCATTGTATGAACCTGTTGCTCCTTAATCCTACTGAATGGACTGTAATTCTGTTCTGTCAAAATAAAAATATTTGTACACAACCACCCTTTTGGTTACCGCTTGACTACCGTCTCTATGAGCATGCTTTCTTGTTTTGAGTGAGCCGGCATGTTTATGCTGTGGAAACAATTGCTGCCTCAAGGAAAGCCAGTTTGTTGACAGGCACCTCCCTTGCCGACATATTAATGGGGAACATTAGTAATTATTGTGAATAATGATTCTTAATGTAGATGTAGCAATATAGAGGTTGCCATTGCTCACATCCTTTATAAAATGCTATTTACCTGGCTCCTTGTTCCCGGACTGTTACATAGAAACCCTTAAATCTGGAGCACAGCATGACAGTCAAGCAGCTAGCACTATCATATGGAGAAGACAGGAATGACCACCTTCATATTTCTTTTATGACAGTTGTACTTTAAGGATTTTTTTTTTTTTTTTTTTGTGGGGAGTATATTGTAATTTAGGGATACATTTTTGTAATAATATATTAGTTTTGTTATAAATGAGTGAGCAAACAATGACTATTTCTCTGTACTTTCTGAAAATGTTCACTTAGACTTTAAAATAAGAAAGCGATTCTGTAAATGAAGATTTATTCGAAAATCCACTTTTGCTGAAGGAAAAAAAGCAATCTCTCTGTCCGTTATATAATGTTTTTAACAAATGAATTTGAATAGTTTCATCACTTCTCCCATTGTGGCTACTAAAACAGGCCACCCGCATCCACGCTCCACACGCCGCACCTCTTCCCCGCCTCACGCTCACCGCCCGCCCAAATCCACGATCGGCACAGGGACGCGGGGAGGAGCAGTTGTGGGCGGATGACAGCCGCCAATAGACATGGCCCGATCTCAGTAACAAGTTGCTGCAAGGCTGCTCTGGAAAGCCTGCACTTTCCCACACATGGTGCTCTATAATGTATTGCTGGGATTTGTATTCCTCTATAGCTGATGGTACATTGTGCTGTATATTATACAGCACAATGTACCATCAACTATAGAGGAGTACAAATCCCAGCAATACATTATACTCTGTATGTATAATGTATTGCTGGGATTTGTTGTACTCCTATATAGCTGGTGGTATTCTGCATTGCGCTGTATAGGGGACTACAAATCAAGGAATAATACATTATACAGCGCAATGCCGAATACCACCTGCTACAGAGGAGTACAACAAATCCCAGCAATAGTACATTATACAGCGCAATGCAGAATACCGCCAGCTATAGAGGACTACAAAACCTAGCAATAGTACATTATACAGCGCAATGCAGAATACCGCCAGCTATAATGTACTATTGCTGGGATTTGTTGTATTCCTCCATAGCTGGTGGTATTCTAAATTGTGCTGTATAATGTACTATTGCTGGCTTTTGGAGTCCTCTATAGCCGGTGCCATTCTGCATTCATTGCTGTATAATTTTACACTTTTCATTTCACTATATTGCACACCACACTTTTTTTTTTCTTTTTAACTTCCACCGCTCCAAGCTTGCTCCTGTGATGGACTGCAATCTCAATACAAACTAGTAGTCCCATCACTGGAGCCATTTTTTTAAATGTATTTTATTTTTTATCCGATTAAGCGATTAATCGAACGTAATAATCGGCTAACCGATTTTGAAAATAATCGTTAGCTGCAGTTCTATCTTATATACCTTTTTTTTTTTTTTAGCATAAGTGGAATTTCGCTTTAATGTGTGTGTTCTGGCTGCAGCTTTTCAAAGCATTTTGGGAGCTTTGATTGTGTCAGAATAATTTCTCTAATCATAAGTCACTAACCAGTTTGTTTTAGAGTTGGTTTGATCCTTGTGCAGATTATTGCAGTTGGACGTTGTATATTTTCACATGGAATGGAGATTTGTTGTGTAATAATATTTCTCTCCACAGGAAATTAAGCAGAACCAGGTTCTGGAAGCCAAGGTATTTCATTCTGAATACAGAACTGGAATTGCAGTATTAACAGGAGCGTTGAAGTTTACTTTCACGTCCAATATTGATGGAGTAAAACTGCGCAGGATGCCAGAAATCCCAAGTAATGTGCAGCTACCTGTGCACTTGTATTGTTTAGTCTTTTATAGGTATTGTAATAGGCTTTAAGTTGTCTGTGTTGTCTTTTTACAGATCCTAAAGTGGTGCCATCTTGTTGGACTGTTCTTTTGCAGGACAGGATGACATTAATTTTGTTAGCCATAGGCAAAGATTTGTACTTGCTGGACAGCACAGCATGCTCTGTTATAGTAAGTAAAACTGTTTTTCTCTCCCTAATATAACCTTTTTCTTTGGTGCTTATCCATGTTCCATGGTTCTTCATTATCCAGTCACAGGCTGAGGCACTGGAGCAAATATATATATATATATTATTATTTTTTATTTTTTTTATTGTATGATCTGATTTTATTACGAATTTACAGAAAGGAAGACAACTCAAAAGAATACAGGCATTAAACAAGTATTGAAACACAACGGTATAACCTCTACAGATAAAAGATATTGGTGAAATCACATAGCACACTCTCCAAGAACAAAATACAAAAAGAAGATGATGTAATAAAATAATTCACTGATCGTGTCAAAAAAGTATGGTAATAAGAGAAGATAATAAAGACACGCAGGGTCAGAATGTTGAAGCATACTGTCCTTTCTCAGAATACAATATGAATCAACTAAACCCAAGCTCGGCTATGCGAATGACAGATCAGGTTGTATTATCCCTGACAGGAAAACAAATAGGAAAAGAACAAGAGGAACAAAGTGGAGCAGCAAATAGAAGGACAGATATACGTTAAAAGACATCTGTAAACAAATGTTCTACTTTTCTGATCCTAGAGTAGTTTTCATATCTTTTCAGATAAAGTTGCTTTCTTTTCCCATCAGATAAACTTTCCTCCCACTTCTATAGCATGCGCTGTGTTATGCTCCACAGTTTTGCTATTTTGTAGTTCTGGCTTGGAATGGTATACAGTACAAGCAACTGAGTAATGATCTGCAAAGCAATAAGGGAGTTCCCAGCATTTAGGGCAAAAATAGTCAAACTACATAACCCTAGATTCTGAGTAACAACATGTCCCAGCTTTCTACTGCAATGGGACTCCACACAATATTTTGAGGGTACATTGCAGAAAGGTGTGAACCTCTGTGTGGTTTTTATTGCTGTGAGTGTCCATGTTTGGAAGAGTGACTCTCACTTTGTTCTGGTGACCATTGTCAGAAAATGAAAAGAATTCTAAAATGTTCTAAAGAACTTGAGTAGCGAAATATGCAAGATCAGAAGAATTTGCCAGTTTGCCACTTTACAACAGTTTTTTAAAACCTCTTTAAAGGAGAACTATGGGGTACACTTTTTTGCATTTTTAGTTTCCTTCAAAATAAAAATGCACCATAAGCTGACAATTCAGTATAATATACTGTGGGCAGGGCTAAGCCTCGTGCTGAGAAGTGATCCTGACAATATTGTCAGGATCCTCCTCTCCCATTGAGTGACAGCATTTTGTAGGAGCTGGTGCACGTTCATGATAAGCTATGCAGATGCTCAGGGCACATCCTATCAGAGTTTATTCATGTCAGGTCACAAGTCTACAAATACTAGCACATCCATCCAGCAGTTTCTTTTAGTCTCCCTCCCCTCTCCTCCACAATGCTGTCTCCTGACAATACACATAACACATTGCCACTAAGACCATCAGTTTATCTCTGTCCTTGTGTCCTCGCCCTCTTCCCCTCTGCTGTCTTGGGACATACACAGGGAGAAGAAGAGATGAAGACACTAGTGGGGAGGAGGGAGAGGACAAAGCTGAACTGACGGTCTTAGTGTGTTATGTGTATTGTCTGCAGACAGCAGTGTGGAGGAGAGAGAGGGATTAAGTAAACGAAAGACAAACTGCAGGAAGGATGTGCAAGTGTGAACTCTGGTAGGATGTGCCCTGAGCTGCTGCGCTTGACAGCTTCTCAAGAACATGCAGCAGCTCCTACAAGCTGCTGTCACTCAATGGGAGAGGAGGATCCAGACAGTATTGTCGGGATAATTTTTCAGCACAGAGCGTAAACCCCACCCACAGTATATTACACTGAATTTTAGGCTTATGGTGTATTTTTGATTACAGGAGTACATTGCAAAATGTATGCCTGTATCATAAGGAAAGTAAGAATGCAAAAAAAGGTGTACCCCATAGTTCTGCTTTAATATATTTTATTGAAATATGCCAAATTCATAAAAAGATGCAAATAAAATATAAAATGAATCTCATGTTTAGTAAGTTAACAATGTCGGTGGAATACCTTGTAATATAAGATGTTTAGTAAGTGCTTTTTTTTACAGTATGGCAGTGGGCATTATAAATGTAGCAGAAATGGGTTGTTGTGCATGGTCCCAAATGTAGTACACAAGATGTATACACTTCAGCAAACCCCCTTATTTTTATAAATAGGGCTGGAAAGACTAAATATAAGTTAGTCCATGGCATTTAAATAAATAGTGCAGATGACTCATTTTGTTTTTTGTTTTTTTGCAGACTCTTCCTGGAATGAGCCCATTGTCTGGAGCGTATCTTAATTTTTCTGTCTCCTTTAATCATAAATATCTTGCAGCCTTTACAGACAGTGGATATATATGGATGGGAATGTCTTCACTCAAGGTGAGCAAAGTGTTTTCTTTGAAGAATGAATTATAGCATTCTTATTTATATTATAAAAGGTATTTCTTTTGTGTGGTAAATGATGAATGCCAAACTTGATGCCCTGGCCTCACAGGAACTGGTCTGACTGAGGCTGGGAAGTAGAGCTGCGCTGGATTGGTGACCAGGTGAGCCTCTGGAGAACGGTCCTGGAAAGAAGTTGGTTATAGCAGCCGTAGCTGCTTTTTTCTTTTTTTTTTTTTTTTATATATATGTTGGGGATTTGTTATACTTTTGTTGCCCAAGCTAGACTTGGTCTTCAATTTGTGGTTATGAGGCATAATATTATTATGTAATGTTTAATGCAACATTTCTTGCTGGCTATGTGTAAATCCCTGTTTAGTCCCATTTCTATGTATGCTCATCTGCTTAGAGCAGAAGCAAATTCAGAAAAATTTTAATCGTTGGGAGCTACGGATTTTGGCAGGAGAGACCTGCAATATCTCTTCTGCCAAATGGATTCTCCCTCTCTTCCCCAACTATTTTTTGTTTCCTGTGTACACTGTACGGTGCATTATGCATGTTTTTAAAAAAAATGTATATTCAGCATTATAGTTCTGAAGTCAGTCTTGTGAATACCAAACTGAAATGCACTTTTACTTATTTTAGGAAAAACTTTGGGAGTTTACTTCAGACATTCGACAAGCACCCAAGCAAATGGCCTGGTAAATGCAGCTTTTTCTTTTTTCTGTGCTTTCTTTTTACATACAGGGCCTGTTCACACCATCCAGTGCGTTCAGGGACCTGAATGAACGCACTGGATCACATAAATAAAGCCTGCCCGCTTCCTGGAGTGGGAGGGGGTGTGGTGGTGCCATTCATTTCAGTGGCACCACAGACACGCCTCTTGCCATCAGTGCGATTGCTCGTACCGGAACACATGGTAAAGCAATCCAGTGCTGTGCGATCGCAAAAAAAATTACATGCACTATTTTTTGCGATGTAGAGAACTAACCTTTAAACTTCTGAACCATTCCACCCTCGAATACCATATCGAGCTAATTCTAAAAAACTGCTTTAAAATTTATCTGCCAGTTACTTGAGAAATGTATGCAGCTGTTGCAGAACCTACGAAAACTGGTACAGGGCTTTTTTAAAGACTTCTGCCATTGATGGGAAACCCTTAAAAATAAGACACTGATGTAAATAAGTATGAATGGAACTTTCCCTTTGCTGCAGATTTACTCTTTCTGCTATATTCATTTTTGTTGTGATCTTTTTTTTAAATTGCAGAATCTGCCCGAACAGGGTCTGATTACTTAGATAATGATTACTACTCCTTCAAGCCTTATTACTGTTTAATGTTATCTTTTGCTTATGTGACACTACTGTAATCTGATTTCATATTCCAATTAAGCCTTGGGATTGCATGATTCTAACATTGTTTCAGGAGACTTGGCGAGTGGCTGTAGGGGCTGGCAGCTGTCATTGCTTTGAACAGCATTTCCCGCAGCTGTTTGCATGGGTCTCACTAAGAAAATTATGAGAATCGGTCCCTTTTGCAAGTGCCTTATCCTTAGCATAACCATTCTGTTCTCTAACCTATTAAGTTCCATTGACATCTTCTGAGATTTAATGATGATAGCAATGTTGGCTGGTTATATAGGAGCAAGTATATTTACTTTTTATAAAGATTTTTGTTGACGGACTCTGCATAATTCCCAGTTTCTTTGACTGAAGCTTCGGACTGAGCTGTCAAATAAGGGAAGTGTCACTGCAATAAATCCTCCAATTGTTTGAGCATATTTTATTTTGAGCTATGGCGTCTGTATACTGGTTTTTTTTTTATTAAAGAAGCAAAAGAGGAAGTTGTAAAAGAAGCCTAAAGCTGCATCTTCTGGTTTAAAAAGTTCAAAATAATAATATGCAAGCTTTCATATGATTTACCTAAAACAATATATTTAATTTGTTTAGTCTTGACCATATTAAAGAAAGTAGATAGTTATGTACAAAAGCACTGTAAATTTCCTTTTAATACAGAAATGCCACATTTACATACCCGCTATGAATAACCATATCTAGCATATCAGGACAGGAGAATCATTCTAAAAGCCACACAGTGTGGCTCATTTACTAAAGGGGTAGTTCACTTTGCAAGGAAATTTTTACTTACCTTTGTGAATGTGGTGAAAGTTCACACTGCACACAATACCTATGCACATGCTTTATCTCTTTAGTAACTCAACCTTGATATCTTGCATCACTTGATCATATTTTCAGGTCTTTTTCTGGTGAAATCTCTTAATTTAGGATTAAGCATTAAATGTTGACAATGATTTATAACAGAATCTTATGACCAATAGATTCTGTCACTAGCACACCATGGTTCAATCTTCAAGCAGTGATCATTTTTTGATGCACACACATCTTGTTGATGTGTGTGCATCAATAAAATCACTGCTTGAAGATTGAACCATGGTGTGCTGATGACTTACTTTACTATTTGGATCTGAAGCGGCGCCATCCGCAGTCACTACAGCACCCACTACCAGGGACATAGCAGTAAGGAGTGCAGTAGGATTCTTCTGCAGAATCTTATGACAGACGCTGTTTACATTCCGTGGCAGGGTGATGTGACAGGTTGCTGCGTCACAGTAGGGAAATGCTATTGTAACCTAGATTTTCTTATTGAAGAATGAGAAATCCAGATGTGCAGTAAATGGTAATGAACATGCAGGAGATGAATGTGCTTTATTACTATGAGAATTGGTGGTAAATGATCTAATAACTGATTATTCATCAATTTAAAATTTTGCCTGGGTAGCTACTGCCACAATCGACAAAACATATAAATGTAGATCTCATTAATGTGTGATTTGACAAGTAAATTATCAGTAATGATTTGTTTCTTTTTAGGAGCATCAGGCCACAAAGTAAACAAATTGCAGTTGTAGTAATGTGGGACAAACTGCTTCTTGTGGCTGGAAAAGGCAAAGATGGCATACAGTATCCTTGGTTTTAATTGTAACTTGCTGTTTTTATTTGATTTAAGACTATTTAATTCCAACACTATTTAGGGGCAATGTATGCATAGGAAGAGCTGATTTTACCGAGAGTGTTTTCATCAAGTAAATGTTTGTTAGCTGCACTGCCCCATGGGCCCTATATAATACAGCTGCATCTTTACTTCCTGCCTCATTATTCTACATGCTAAGCCTAATATTGATATGTTGAATAAGTCACAATTAAGCGTTCTGAAACTATTTTGACACTAGTGCTGTTAAAACCTTAACAACCAATACATATTTCCATTGGATGAGGAAACTTTCATGGTTCCAGAGCTTGATGGTGTCAGACTTATTTCTCATTCCACACATGAGTTTCTTCATGAGATACCAAGTATGTATCATCTGTTATCAGTGTTACCAAGATTATTAGAAATGCAAGATAGTTGTATGTGGCTTTGCAGAAGCGGTAACTAGTGTGTTTAGGGAAGTACAGCAAGTTCTAATACAAGCTTCATTACTTTCCTGGGAAATAATGGAGACGTACAGTTGTGTGAAAAAGTGTTGGCCCCCTTCCTGATTTTTCATTGTTTTGCACGTTTGTCACACTTTAATGTTTCAGATTATCAAACAAATTTAAATATTAGTCAAATATAACACAAGTAAACCCAACATGCAGTTTTTAAAGGAAGGTTTTTATTATTAGGGGAAAACAAAATCCAAACCCACATGGCACTGTGTGAAAAAGTGTTTGCCCCCCCTGTTAAAACATAACTTAACTCTGGTTTATCACACCTGAGTTCAATTTCTCTAGCCACACCCAGGCCTGATTACTGCTACACCTGTTCGCAATCAAGAAATCACTTAAATAAGACTTGACTGACAAAGTGAAGTAGACCAAAAGATCCTCAAAAGCTACACATCATGCCGAGTTTCAAAGAAATCCAGGAACAAATGAGAAATAAAGTCACCAAGACCCAACAACAACATCCAAAGACCTGCAGGCCTCACTTGCCTCAGTTCAGGTCAGTGTTCATGACTCCACCAAAAGAAAGAGACTGGGCAAAAATGACCTGCATGGCAGAGTTACAAGACAAAAACCGCTGCTGAGCAAAAAGAACATAAAAGCTTGTCTCCGTTATGCCAGAAAACATCTTGATGATCCCCAAGACTTTTGGGAAAATACTCTGTGGACTGACGAGACAAAAGTTGAACTTTTTGAAAGGTGTGCCCCATTACATCTGGCGTAAGAGTAACAACGCATTTCAGAAAAAGAACATCATACCAATAGTAAAATATGGTGGTGGTAGTGTGATGGTCTGGGGCTGTTTTGCTGCTTCAGAACCTGGAAGACTTGCTGTGATAAATGGAACCATGAATTCTGCTATCTACCAAAAAATCCTGAAGGATAATGTGCGGCCATCTGTTCGTGACCTCAAGCTGAAGCGAACTTGGGTTCTGCAGCAAGACAATTATCCAAAACACACCAGCAAGTCCACCTCTGAATGGCTGAAGAAAAACAAAATTAAGACTTTGGAGTGGCCTAGTCAAAGTCCTCAAAAAAACGATAATACGAAACCTCAAAAAAACGATAATACCCAAAATTGGCCATAGGCGACGCTTTAAAAGCTTTTACCGCTCATCAGTTTAGTGTTATCAGTGATTGATGGCCCTAAAATGATTGCTCACACTGTGTGTAGTTTGATTGCAGTTCTTGCTGCTAAGGGTGGCCCAACCAGTTATTAGGTTTAGGGTGCAAACACTTTTTCACACAGGGCCGTTTGTGGGTTTGGATTTTGTTTTCCCTTAATAATAAAAACCTTCCTTTTAAAAACTGCATGTTGTGTTTACTTGTGTTATCTTTGACTAATATTTACATTTGTTTGATGATCTGAAACATTAAAGTGTGACAGACGTGCAAAACAATGAAAAATCGGGAAGGGGGGCCAACACTTTTTCACACAACTGTATGTACAAAAATCACAGATGGTCTATGTATAAAATGTAAGAATACAGTGCACAGAACACACTGAAGACCAGTTAAAAAGAGCATTTAATGTAATAGGTTATATCAGCCTTACTCAAAACTGGTTCCGTAGAACCCAAGAGTTCCTGCAGAGGTTGGTAGAGGTTCCTTCAGCAGCGAGCAGTGGAAGGCTTGATGATACCTCCATAGTTATGGGGCCATATCTGGGCAGAGTCAACACCATGGGACTGTTACTGGTAAATGTTTATTAAAGTGACTATAAACTCAGGAGTTAAATCTTAAAAATGCATTCAAGTACCCTAACTATTAATAAAAATGTAGCATATTTGGGTATCACTCTGCTCCCCATGGTCACTGTGTGTGTTGTAAAGTAGCCACAGCTCCAAACTCACTACCTTGAAATTAGTAAACTAAACATGAGATTACAGTTATGGGAGTAAGCTTGAATTGGTGGCTAATTTACAACACACACAGGGACCATGGGAAATAGAAGTAGCCACCCTCCATAAGAAAGGACAGTGTCAGCAGGAATTCAGAGATGAGTCATACTCAAATAAGCTGCATTTTTGTTAATAGTTAAGGTACTTGAATGCATTTTTAAAGCCTGCCACTGCTTACTGCTGAAGGAACCTCTAGCAACTATGGAGGAACTCTTTTTGAGAAAGGCTGATATAACCTATTACATGAAATGCTCTTTTTAACTTCAATGTGTTCTGAACATTGCTTAGTTTAGTGTCATTTTACATTACTTTGTCTGATAGAGCAAGACATGTTAAAATTATCCACCTTGAATGGCAGATATGCTAGATACATAATCTTTATTTTATTGTATTTACTGATCTTATAAAGCTACAATGAGCAGTCAATTTAATTCTTTGTAGCGGTAGTTTCCTGAGAGCTAAACATTATTTCTAGGGTTCCGTGTGGGTTTAAAGTTGGAAAAGGCTGGGTTTTTATTATTCAAAGAATTGATTTATCTGTAATACAACTACTACAAAAATAAAATTGCTAATATAGAACTGTGCACATCAGCGCAGTCAAAGTTTAGCACAACAGCTTATCAACATGTTAGCTTTACACATTATTACAATATCCATAGACGTAGTAATCCTTTTAGTCTCATGCAGTTAGCATCCTGTCACAGTTGCAGACAAGAGATAAACCAGTGTTTAAAGTAAATATGGTATGCCGATATCCTGTGCTTATACACTTCCTTTTGTACTCGCTAGAAGTGCTGCGTTAATTACAGCGTTGAGTTAATTTCCTTGCTAATTCTGTAAGACAAGCCCCCAGAAATGTAATAATGAGTGAAAAAAGGAAAGCGCAAAACATCTAAAGCCGGGATATGGGAAATAAATAGAAGATGAAGAGACATACAGTTGTGAGAAAAATTTTGTAAACCCTTTGGGATTTTTTGGATTTCTGCACAAGTGCTTCAGAAATATGATTTGATAAGATGTTTATCTAGGCCAAGGTGATAAATGAAGGCATTCTTATTTAACAAAAACCAAAACGCTTACATTGCCATATTTTGTTGAACAATATGTTTAGACCAGTGATTCCCAAACTCCTTTAAAAATACTTACCTATTTCTTATAGGGAGAACCAAAAGACATAAGGAAATCTAGTGTGTCAAGGCACTCCTGTGCATACCGTCTCGTATCTGTATATCTGCAGTATGAGATATAAAGTAATATTAACTTTGCAAACTTTTTTTCTATAATGAGTTCAGATAAAACATATACATTGCCTGAAAAAGTATTTCTTAAAATGTTTGCCAAAGTACTTGCAGCCATTATGTTTCCGTACAGATCCAACTGATTAGATTAGGGAAGCTCCACTTCCCTAATCTTCCTGTTGAGTACAACATCACAGGGACATAGGAGTCTCCAGAAGCTTTCCATCTTCCAGATTGGAGGAGGGAGGTAGGAGGAGTGGAGAGCAGGGGAGAGGCTTGCCTTGCAGTGCCTGTGTCTTTGTGGAGACACACAAAATGTACTAGCACACACAAAAGTGGTTCCATAGGACCCTGCAAGGGAAAGGAGCCACCCTAAAACAGGATATCCGGCCCAGTGCTCTGGGGACCAGCTGACTCTGCAGGAAGAAAACATTTTTAACAATCATACAGCATCCATTGTAAGTGATTTTATCAGCATTTGAAATAGCTTAAATACCCCATGACTTTAATATCACTTTAAGGCACTGCTGCTTGTTGTCTGTTTACAGGCACAGCTTGCGGAGCCTAGTTGTTCTTCGAAATATAGATATTAAATGTGGCATCAGTGTCTATTTAAATACTTATAATATCAGCTGTAAAGTGGTATTAGGGCCAGATTAAAAACTGTTTGTTCAATCTTCTTGCATAATAATTGAACAAAATAAAAGTCATGACTGTCACAACTCCATTTTGACTTAATTTTCTAACATAACCGCTAATATATGCATAGGCACAAGATTTATGCTTTTTAGGGGTTATAGAAGTTAGGCCAAGCGGATTCCACTTTAAGAATGTTAAATACAGTGCACATTTTCCAATATGTTTTTTCTAGAAAGACTTGCATGATAATATTCGGTTATCACATTTTGTGCTGTTTTTGTTTAGAGACAACTGAAGAGATTTTCAAGATAGCTTCAATGGCCCCAGGTGCACTTCTAATGGAAGCACAAAAGGAATATGAGGTACATACTCCTGCTTTGTAAACATTTGTACCTTTTAGGTGGTTCCTCCTACTGACCTTCACTCCAACAGGATCTAGTAGTGACATGGAGGTCAAAACCAGTGAGAATTGTGGGGGACGAAAGTATAAGTTTTGGGAACAACGTTCTGGCAGTATGGGTAGCAGGAAAGCTAAGTATTTTCTCTCCTCTTTTGTGGGTACACTTGTTTGTGAAACTCTTATTTTATGTCAGAGTCGCTTTAACTGAAATGTAAACTCACTTTAAAAAAAAAAAATCTTTAAATATATTGTATCTGAGATGCAGACCGACCCCTGTTAAGGCTACTGTGACCTGCCCACCAAAGGTTAGCCTTCAGAGCCTCCATTAAGCCAGTGACCTGTGAATATTTACAGCACAGCACCTCGTACCAGTCTCAAAGCCAGTTATACTTTTTTACACATCCCTTTAAATGTACTTATTCAGTTGGCAATTTTGAATAGGATATTATGGAGCCATGTACACTTAAAGTGACATTAAACCCTCAGATTTTTTAACATAAAACAATACTGTAATGTGTGCCCTACGGTAATCCATGGTTGTTTCCCTTCTCTTTGCTGCTCTTCCTTTTAAATCTGTATCTGTTCTCATGCTCTGCAGAACTTCTGTTTTGCAGCAGACTGCCTTGTCTCAAGAATGGATACATGGTGTCTGTGTATCCGTTTGTATAGGCTTGTAATCTGAGCCAGCACTACAGGAAGAGGCCCTGAGCTGAAAAGGGAAGTTCTGCCCAAGCATGAGAAGACATGAGGATTTAAAAGGAAGAGCAGCAAAGAGAAGGGAAACTACCATGGATTACAGTAAGGCGCACATTACAGTATTGGTTTATGTTAAAAAATCTGAGGGTTTAATGTCACTTTAATGCTGCATTTCCTTCCTTTCGCTTTGGTTTATGTTAAAGTAATTGCAGTGTGCCCTTTTCTGCTGTGTCTTAACTGCTTTTTTCTACATACAAATCAATGTGAATGTAAACAAACACAGATCAGAAACATTTTAGAGTCAGTTCAACTGCTGTAATCTCCCTTTAAAGCATGGTGCATTTAACCTGTTTGTAAGGCCTTGTTCACACCAAATGCAGACCAGATCCGGTCAGGTTTCTGCACACGCAGTGCAGTGGGTTGTGCCGCGTTTTAGACGCGTTTTGGATGCGTTTAGGGCCGGTTTTGGTAAATGTTTTAAGTTTAACATGGGCTTTCAGGCACTTGCATACGTTTTAGATGCGTTCCAGACCAGATCCAGAGCAGGTAAAATAGGGCTTGCCGCAGTTTTTTCATCCGGTCTGGATCTGGTTTGGATCCGCACGCTGCGATGTGAACTGGAGGTCAAAATACCATAGGAATACATTGGACGCAGTTTTGATCCGGTCTGCACCTGCTCTGGTCCGTATCTGCTCCGCGCTTGGTGTGAACAAGGCCTCAGTCTGAAACTCATAAATACTGATCCTCATGGTGAAGAATCATATTATTTGCTAGAAAAGAAATGTTTTCTGTTGTCTGTGCAAGGCTTTCAATGGTCAGATATCTCATGGAGAGTGATGTAGAGGGTTCTTTTTTCGTGCAAAAAAGAAAATAAGACAGTGTCTTATTTTCGGGGAAACACGGTAGTATACACTGCTATGGTATCAGGATGTCCCATGATCTTCTATATCACTCGACCAACACATTAATACATGAATGCAGTGAAATCCTTTTTTCTTTGTCTATAGAGATTCCGTTCAGTACTCAATATTTTAGAAGAACTGTGTGTGATCATGATGGTTTCAGAAGCGCTTCATCCACACTTTAATTAACCCTTATAATTTCAGACCATATTTTTACATTTGATGCTTAAATCTGTTTTGTTGTGTGCAACTCTGGGACCCTAGGTGGGCCCTTTTATCAAATGTACTATGCTAGGGGCAAAGTGGCAAAGAGACCGTATGTTATAGTTACCTTTACTTTAAAAATGAATGCTTGGAACAGCTAAATACATGAATCCAATAATTTATATGTAAACAGTTTTACATGCCACATAATTTGTTATTTTTTTCAACCAGTCTTATGATCCAAGCAACCCTGACAGACAATACAGCCAAGCCCTGACTCTCCTTGAAAACCTAACCACAGCTAAGCAATGCAGACTTGTCCAGGTCTCACCACAGTCTGTGATTAGAAAACAAAGCAGTAGCAGCTAAGGACTGGTTCACACCTGAGCGTTTTGCAGCGCGTTCCTACGCTCTGTAAAACTCTCAACATATGAAAACCAATGATTGCCTATGGGCATGGTTCCCACCTGGGCGTTTTACAGCGCGTAGGAATGTGCTGCAAAACGCCCTACGCCCAAAGAAGTACAGGAGCTTCTTTGGGGCCTTTTTCCGCACGTATCCATTGGGATACAGCCAGGTAGCCCTCGGAAAAGCGCGTTTGTCGCACGTTTTTTACCGCAAATCACGGTAAAAATGCGCGGCACGAAACGTGCGACAAACATGCATATTCGATACGCCTAGGTGTGAACCCAGCCTTACTGATGGCCCTTTTGATCTTGTTAACTAGGTTGCCTCAGTTGTTAGACAGTTTTGTGCATTGTCTTGAATTCTATATTCACAGCTTTAAAAATCTGCGTATATAAAATATTAGATCATATAGTCTTACATTCAAAGAAAATATGGTTTGCACAGCCATTATGTAGAACCAAAAATAAGCACTGCCTCGGTGTGTAATTAGCAACTTTGGTTCCCCCAATAGAAAGACTATCTATTACCTTTGATTATAATCCACCTCCTATCCTGTTGCCTGTAATTTTTACAGGTTTATGCCTTTTCACATCTACCGCCATTTTCTGAAATAGTCAGTTATGAAGTACAATGTCAAGCAGATCTAATCTAAACATAGAGACTTGCATAACATTTAAACACAGCTCACTTGCTAACATCTACACTCTCCCCCAGGTGCTGGTACTATGTTCCCACTCTTGTAACATCCGATTCAGTAGTTAAAAGCTCAGCACTCTAAAGGTCCCCACACACATTGCGATAATCATACGATAATCGCGGGAAATCCCGCGATCGTACGATTATCGTAAGGTGTGTGGAAGCCATGCGACCTCTACTACTGTGACCGGCAACAGCACGCCGCCTTCTGGGACGTCCAGTCCTCCCCCAGCCAGGTAAGACATCCCCCGAAAATAAGACCTAGTGTCTTTTTTCGTGCAAAAAAGAAAATAAGACAGTGTCTTATTTTCGGGGAAACACGGTAGTATACACTGCTATGGTATCAGGATGTCCCATGATCTTCTATATCACTCGACCAACACATTAATACATGAATGCAGTGAAATCCTTTTTTCTTTGTCTATAGAGATTCCGTTCAGTACTCAATATTTTAGAAGAACTGTGTGTGATCATGATGGTTTCAGAAGCGCTTCATCCACACTTTAATTAACCCTTATAATTTCAGACCATATTTTTACATTTGATGCTTAAATCTGTTTTGTTGTGTGCAACTCTGGGACCCTAGGTGGGCCCTTTTATCAAATGTACTATGCTAGGGGCAAAGTGGCAAAGAGACCGTATGTTATAGTTACCTTTACTTTAAAAATGAATGCTTGGAACAGCTAAATACATGAATCCAATAATTTATATGTAAACAGTTTTACATGCCACATAATTTGTTATTTTTTTCAACCAGTCTTATGATCCAAGCAACCCTGACAGACAATACAGCCAAGCCCTGACTCTCCTTGAAAACCTAACCACAGCTAAGCAATGCAGACTTGTCCAGGTCTCACCACAGTCTGTGATTAGAAAACAAAGCAGTAGCAGCTAAGGACTGGTTCACACCTGAGCGTTTTGCAGCGCGTTCCTACGCTCTGTAAAACTCTCAACATATGAAAACCAATGATTGCCTATGGGCATGGTTCCCACCTGGGCGTTTTACAGCGCGTAGGAATGTGCTGCAAAACGCCCTACGCCCAAAGAAGTACAGGAGCTTCTTTGGGGCCTTTTTCCGCACGTATCCATTGGGATACAGCCAGGTAGCCCTCGGAAAAGCGCGTTTGTCGCACGTTTTTTACCGCAAATCACGGTAAAAATGCGCGGCACGAAACGTGCGACAAACATGCATATTCGATACGCCTAGGTGTGAACCCAGCCTTACTGATGGCCCTTTTGATCTTGTTAACTAGGTTGCCTCAGTTGTTAGACAGTTTTGTGCATTGTCTTGAATTCTATATTCACAGCTTTAAAAATCTGCGTATATAAAATATTAGATCATATAGTCTTACATTCAAAGAAAATATGGTTTGCACAGCCATTATGTAGAACCAAAAATAAGCACTGCCTCGGTGTGTAATTAGCAACTTTGGTTCCCCCAATAGAAAGACTATCTATTACCTTTGATTATAATCCACCTCCTATCCTGTTGCCTGTAATTTTTACAGGTTTATGCCTTTTCACATCTACCGCCATTTTCTGAAATAGTCAGTTATGAAGTACAATGTCAAGCAGATCTAATCTAAACATAGAGACTTGCATAACATTTAAACACAGCTCACTTGCTAACATCTACACTCTCCCCCAGGTGCTGGTACTATGTTCCCACTCTTGTAACATCCGATTCAGTAGTTAAAAGCTCAGCACTCTAAAGGTCCCCACACACATTGCGATAATCATACGATAATCGCGGGAAATCCCGCGATCGTACGATTATCGTAAGGTGTGTGGAAGCCATGCGACCTCTACTACTGTAAGGTCGCACGACTTTAAACTTACGAACATGTTTGAAAACCCGCTGAGCATCGTACGATGTTCGGCGGGTGTGTAGCATTTTCGTAAGATAAAAGCAGGACGGGCCGGTGTGCGCAAGCGCACACTGCCCGTTCCGCATTGCGGTCATCGGAAGCTCGCCCCTCAGGGGGCGTGGCTTGCGATCATCGCAAGTACGATCTGCCTATGCAAGATAGGCAGATCGTACGTTTTTTTAAGTACCTTACAACCATCGCAAGACAGAAGCCTTGCGATGGTTGTAAGGTGTGTGCCCAGCCTTACTCCTATAAAACAGACCCTTTATTACAAATTAGCACATAAAAGCACTACAGCCATCGCTATGTGTTTCAATCTTGTCCTTTCTCAAGTGGCTTCAACGATACTAGCACACATAAATCCTGGTAAAAAAATGACTCACTGGATGCTTCCCTGTAGTAACAAGAAGGTACAGCAATTCAAGTAGTAAGTAACTATATATCCCACTTAAAATTAAAATCTTAATTATTTTATTACATTACCACTGCTATTCTTAATTTCCTTGTACAAAGAGCATGGTGTATCTCCACTATAAAAATGTTTGATTCCATATCTCTACCCCAGAGGTCTTGAACTCAATTCTCTTGGGGGCTGCTGGACAAATTTCATAAAATGTCATGCTTGAAAACATAATTTAACTACAGTCATGGCCAAAAATATTGGCACCCCTGAATTTCTGTCAAATAATGCACTACTTCGCACAGAAAATTGTTGCAATTACAAATGTTTAGGCGTTCTCATGTTTATTTGTTTTGTTTGTAATTGGTATGACACAAAAAAGTGGAGAAAAAAAAGCCAAATCTAACACATTCCACGCAAAACTCCAAAGATGGATTGAGGGGTTTTGTGTTGGTGGTACAGGTCTGAATTATTTCCTTTAGAGACACAAATAACTATCAGCCACTTTGCCCAAACTTCTGCCTGCTGTAATCCTGGTCCGGACAATGTCTGCATAGAGTTTGCATTGCCTCCCTGTGCTTAGGCTTCCTCTGGGTACTTCGGTTTCCTTCCAAAGACATGCTGAGAGGTTAATTGGCTTTCTAAATTGGCCCTGTGTGCATGGGAGATAGGGACCTTAGATTGTAAAGTCCATGAGGGCAGGGACTGATGTGAATGTGCAACTATGTAAAGTGCTGCATAAATTGTCTGCGCTATATAAATGTACTTTTTTTTATGCATTCTGCATATGGCACTACTTTTCAGATTTTTTAAAATCAAACAACTGTATAATTGTTGGAAAGTGCTTATTTATTGTATTTGTTTTTGTTTGTTTAGAAACGGAGCCAGAAGGCTGATGACTATCTGCGTGAAATAAAGGATCAAAACCTGCTTTCTGTAGCAGTGGCAAAGTGCATTGAAGCAGCTGGTTATGAGCATACCCCAGAAATGCAAAAATCTTTGCTTAGAGTAAGTTCTGCTAAAACATATTTTGATTACATGTAGACTACATTTTTCAGCATTGATGCGTTTAAAATTTGTATATAATCAAATCAATGGGGGTTGTACTGTCACGGCGTAAAGAACTTAGAAAAATGATTTTTAGTCAGCAGAGATTAGCACTAATTATAACAAGCATTCTAAACTGGTCCTTAAAGTGAACCTTTACCCCATTTTACTAAAAATCACATCAGGATGCAGCTCTGCATGCTGATATAAAATCATCTTACATTCATTAGTTAAACAAACTTGTTTTTCATTTACTTACAAATAGAGTTCATCTACTTCCTGGTCCAGTTCTGGCACAAATTATGTATGTGCCCAAGTGTTGCAACCTGGGAAGGTTTCATTAGCAGAACATTGCTGGGAAATCTCATCTGTAATCTCATGAGATCTCAGGGAAATGCATTTTCCTCCCCTGAGATGATGTGCATGGTCACATGTCCTCGTCGCATGTGCAGGATTTTTCAGAACGCAAATCTGACATTAGTTAACATGGCCACTGTCAGAAGACTAGGAAAGAAAAGAGAAATAAGGTACGCACAGCATACAAGCCTGCAATTATATATAAGTATGTTTGTAGGTATGGGTAAAGTTCCTCTTTAAAGTGACACTAAACTCTGGAGTTAAAGCTAAAAACACATTCAAGTACCCTATTAACAAAAATGTATCTTATTTGTGTATCACTCAGCTGTATGTCCTCAAATCATCTCTGAATTCATGTTGGCACTGTCCTTCCTTCTGGAGGGTGGCTACTTTTGTTCCCCATGGTCCCTGTATGTGTGTGTTGTAACGTTGCCACTGCTCCAAGCTCACTCCTGTGATGGACTACAATCTCACGTTCAGTTTACTCATTCAGATAACTTTGGATTGTTGTACATTTTGTTGCACATTAAACAAAAAATAAGACATCCCCTGAAAATAAGACCTAGTGTAGTTTTTGGGGGCAAAAAAACAGTGTCTTATTTTCGGGGAAACACGGTAGTAATCCGGGCAGCTAAAACTGAGTGCGAAAAGCATATCGCCGCAGATAGTAAAAAGAACCCCAAAAAATTCTACCAATATATTAACAGTAAAAAGGTGATAAATGAGCAGATAGGCCCAATAAAGGCTGAAAGCGGGAAGCCAGTCACAAACGACAAGGAGAGGGCCG